GGGGAAATTTATCTTTTATAGTTTGACTATTGAGACGTCTGTAATCAACAACTAATCTGTATTCACCGATCTTTTTCTTTACTAGTATGACAGGACTATCATATGGGGATCGCGTTTTTGTTACAATTCCATTTTCTTTCCATTCTTGAACTTTTCTTTGATCGCAGCTCTTACAGAGGCATTTGTTCTATAAGGCTTCATACATACTGGCTTTGAACCTTCGATTTTCTTAATGTCCATTTTTAGGAGATCTGTGCACCCTAGTTCTGAAATATTTAGTGCAAAGCAATCTCTGTATTCATTAAGAAGACACTATAACTCTTGCTGGTGATCAACGTCGAGATCCGAGCCAATTTTAACTTGGCTTAAACTTATAGGAACTTTTGTGTTGTTAATATTTTCCGTTTTTGCTAAGTTCGAGCTCAATTCAGAAATTTCAGTATTTAAAACATAGTTCAATTTCTTCCGCTCTCCCAAAACGCTCTCCCAACGCATTGATCTTTTTGGGGCCTAACACTTCTAATCGCCAACGTTAATCATTGGTATACAAGTTTTTCGCCATTCTTAATTTCTAATAAACAGCCTATACCTTCGGAAGGATTTTCTATCATAATTAATCCATTATCTACAGAATATCTGTTTGAGAACAGACAAGACTGATCGTATTTTTTCTCTAATTCATTTTCCTCAAGAGCTTTAAGGCAGACTCGATTTATTTTTTTTATCATTTGGAGGTTACTAAATAGTTCATCTTCCCTATACCCGAAATGAAATCTTTTTTCCTATTCTGACATAAGCGATGTGAGGGAGATCAAGCCATGTCCGTCCGATGATTAGATCAACTGGCTGTGCATTATCAGGTACAAGGTATATATTTAATGCCTTGGCCTTTTACATTATCAACTTCATTATCATCGGCTTTAATCATTCCTATAGAGGTCACTGCAGGGCACCCTTTGATTTCCAAAACCGTACAATTCATTCATAGCAGGTTCTGATTTCACTTTAAGTTTCTCAGCAACTGAAGTCCTTAAGAAGACAACTAGAACTCCCCGTATCAATTAAAGCCTGTACTTCTTCAGAATTATTCAGTTTTGCTTTCTTCAAATATGAATTGTTCTCTTCTAAATTTTCACCAACTTGCTCAACAGAATAATTTTTTTCATTTGAATGATTATTTACAGCTTTAGTAACACAATTTTTAGCTTTATGACCTGTTTTACTTACAATTTTCGGCACATGTTACTACTGGTTTGGGCAGCAGGACAGTCCCCTTTGAGAATGTGTAAAAATTATTACAGCTGAAACATTTTGGTTCACCTTTTTCATTGTGTGTGATACTGTAGAGTTTTTTCTTTTCGTTGATTGTAGCAACTGGACCATCTTTAAAGGAGTTTCGTTTGTCATAAGACCCTTCTTTACGCGGTTGTTTACTGTTGAAAGTTGACTTCAAGGTATCATAATCTTCAGTTTTTCAACTAAATCAATTGATGAAATCAAATCGGACCATATGTCAATAAAATTATCTTTTACTTCTGGAGACACTTTACGTTTTATCTGATCCGCTACAATAAGGTCGCTAAGTTTCTCAAAAGTATCTACTTTAATTCCGCTTATCCATTCATTAAAAAAAATTTCTTAACGCATATGCAAAATTCTTCCATGAGTTTCCTACACTCTTATTGTGTGTAAAAAATTTTTGGTGAAATTTTTCAGGTGTCTTATGCTGTCCAGTGTTTCACTACTTGCTACCTTGGGTGACACATTCTTGCTATTGAAAATGTCTGGCCAACGGTTGCACAGAAACTAGCTTGATAACACCAGCATGCCAGTATAATACATGAAATCTGGCACAGAACGGGAGCCACAACCTCCAACATCCGTAACTGCCATTCAAAATCTGTTTGACTCCATAGCCAGTCACAAAACAGCTGCTATTGTAGTCAACAGTGAATGCATGTTCTGTACCCTAAAATTACTCAAAATTTGAATTATTCTGTTCTTCAATTATAATATACTGGGACATCCAGAAAGTACTGCAGAGTTTTTTGATAAATACAAATGAAGCATAAAAACATAAAATTTCGTTGAATCACATAAGTACCATTTTGTTCTACAACTTTTTGCCATCTCTCCAACTGTTGAAAAAATACTTTAAGTCATTAGATCTATACATAATGAAGTTATTAAGGTGGTGTCTGCCTATCTCAAAACAGAAATCCAGGCCATTCGGTGAATTTTGAAGTGACCTGTAGAGATTAAAATCGAGGGGGACAAATTCTAGTGAACATGGGATGTGACACAAAACATCCCAGCCATCCTTTCATAATGAAAGATAACACCTAGACTACTGCTCAGTTCTAGGTACTTCATTCAATTTCTGCGTTTAAATTGTCATTTAAGGACAATAACTCTTGAATTTGTCATCTGATATGGTAGCAAGAACTTATACAATTCCTAGTCTCATTATCCACAAAGTATTACTTTTTTGGGACATGTAGCCTTCCTCTTGGTGTTATAAAGAAGGTTCATTTGGTTTACACCATGAGATTCTTCTTTTAACATTATTCTTGTAACCACCTCTCATCTCCATTAATAAGTCATGTCAAAAGAAAAGTGTTTTCCATTCTTTTCAGCAAAGAATCACATGCCAAATTTGAAGCAAGCAAATTCTCCATTAAAATATGGGGTACACATATATTGTAGCAGATTATATACCCATTCTTCATATACTTTTCAGAATGTTTAGTCTATCTGATAATTTCTTAGTTGTATAACATGGCTTTTCAAAGACAGCTTCTTTTAATTAGGTTCTTGCTTAGAGAGGATGGTAGTTCAGAAAGGGCATCATCCTCAAATCTCAAAATACAACTGCTCAAAACTTCTCAAACCACCTTTCAACAGTGTCCACAAAAACAGCACTTTTTCCATATAGAGCACAAATTTTATCAGCAGACTATCAGTTTTTTCTTTTTAAAAATAAAAGTATAACATGATGTAAATGAAGGTTTGAGTTCTCAGTTCTTACCACTGCGTAGAAAAAAAGACTTGTACCACAACACAGTGAGCAGATGGGACAGTATTTAAGCATATGTTTTAACTAGTGTCACTCCTTACAAGCCGTAACAAAATAATTTAATGAAAATACACCTCAATTAGAAAAACTGCAGAATTTTATGGATGACCCAATACTTATAAAAATATATGTGATTCTGCTGGCTGCTTTCTTTCATTATGAATTATTTTTAATGGTGTATCTTGGCATAATGTTGATTGAATGAATCAGAATAAAGAGGGGTGTGACATAGCTTCAAACAATAGGATGGGAGAAACTTATTACAGCCTTTCCCTTTATTCTTAACTCCCCAGGGAAAATAAGAATTGCATTCTTACATAAAATTTTTTTGAAAAGATACTGACATTCAAATCGTTAAGAACAAATAGCTTTTAGGACAATTTTTTACAGAAATAGTTTACAGAAAACACACACAAAAAAGAAAGAAAAAAGCGGAAAATAGAAAATCACTACAGGTATAAACTATGCAGTTACTTATTACATTGTACAAAGGTTGTATTCCTAGAGCTAAAAGACATGATTTTCAAAACTATGATTAATGAAATGTCGATCAAATGCATTTTTGCTTAAATAAGAAGCATTTTAATACAAAATATGTACTCCTATGACAAGATAGCAAGTTTGATGTGTCTTCTCCATGCTCTATTAATCTTTATACTTCAGTCAGAAGCAGAGATGGCATGTCATAAACCTCATTGCAGAACCTCAGAAGAGAAGACAAATCAACTAACATTAGGGGAGTGGTAGTAGATTTTGATAACTCAGCATGTATGGGACCACAATATCTGATCATCTGCCAGGCTAATCCATTTGATAAATACTTTGCTCATAAAGATAACAGTACAGTGGATGTTATCAATTAAAATAAAGAAATCACAATAAGGTGAGGCATATTATGTTGCATAAAGATAAAAGATTTATATATCTGAGCTGTAACAGATCCTGTAAGAATCACACTGACAAGTGAGACAATGTCATCTAACATTTTGCAGGAATATTCATTGGCGATGCATTGACAAATACGTATTTGACGGGTTAACGTTTAATTTCTCTGCTCAAATGAGGATATTGCTGTATCGATCTTAAGTATTCCCTTCACAACTAGCTATATTGTGATCCTTGCTATTCACAAATCATAAAACAATGTAAGTCACATTGTAGAAAGAACCTGGACTTATCTAAGAATAGGAATTAGTGCCACTGTTCTCTGTGCCATATGCCATGCTCTCATCAATCTCAGTTACCGTGCTCTGTGTAAAAGAATAAGCAGAATATCAGTTTCTGGAAAAAAAAATTCCTTTCATGAGCAGTCTTCACATTCAGTTTGGAATTGCTCATTTTAATCTACATTCACTAAGAAACCAACTGTAGTCTGTGGATAACATTTCACCTTATATTTAGTTGCCACAGCGCTTTAGTCTGTAACATGCCCATCTATACACAGCCAGCTGCTCAGTATCTTAGCAAAACTGGCTAGCAAATTCTCTAGGGCCTAATGTATGTTTCACAAAGAAATTTTCAATAAATGAATGCTTTCCCCACATCAGTTCATTTGTGTATATGAAATATTATCAATAATTTAAGTATCAATGTTTCCAAAACAAACAGTTTTCCATTGTACATATTTTTCACTACTTTTATCATTTCCTTCTTCTGTAAACATTATTTGATATTCTCATCTATTTTTGCAAAACTACATAAGAAACATGTTTATGCCTTAATTTTTTGCAGGCAGTACAACATGCTTTATAAGTACAAAGCTAGTGAAAATCTACAAAATGTAGCACAAATATATAATTACACATATCTGTAATACCTTTAAAGTCAAATAATAACCACGTAGGTAATTTTGGCATTACAAATGTAGCTATAGTACAATACAGTAAGAAAAAATAATATATACAAAGATAAAGTTACCACTTACTAGGCACATAATAATTGAATACATTAGCTTCAAGCCTGTCATTTATATCTTTGATTGCAAAAGCCTTTAGAGCTTCCTCAATAGCTTCATTCCAAAGCTGTTTTACTCCAGCCTACATGTGTAAGAAAAACAGGACAAATATTAAACACCCAAACCAATGAGTTAGGTAAAATTTATTTATAAACTATAAATATATTTATTTTCAACTTAATATAGAGTACTAGTTAGGTTTCTCATTGTCCTCCAGTTACTTGGGGCTACTGTTTGTGTGTACATATATGTGTTCATTCATATTAAGTAAGTATCTAATACAGATTCATGTTATTATCATTCCACATGATTTTCACCTAATCCATCGAATTACAAATGCTTATTTTTACTAAAAGTATTTCTTTATCAGTTATATTGTAATATCTTTGTTAGAGATGTCAACTCCAATGAGAGAAATAATCCTCTCATAATGACTAAATTCAAATCAGAAAAAGATATATGGCACACGACACAAAAATGTTTGCACTGGCTTACTCTGAAAGCACTTACTCTAGTCATTTTTTTTTAATTCAAAAAGAAAAGAACTCAGCAAAAGATGCCAAAACAATTCCAATAAACTATAGTGTATGAATATTTTTACTTCACATTCTTTATTTACTTAATCCATACTTGCCAATCTATGACACTCAAAAATCGGGAGATTGTTTTTATGAAATCAGGAGATTTTTCACAATGTTAAAAAGACTTTTTAAATGACAAAAATATAGTTTTTAATAATGAATTACCTTTAAATAGTTACTCATTCTTAAATGCAAGCAACACAAAAATACCTTACACATAAAACACATTTTTATTCCTTGCATCGTTTAAGAAAACAACCACAAAAAAAAAAAAAAAAAAAAAAAAAAAAAAAAAACTTTAATCAGTTTTCGTACAAATGTTATAAACAGAGGCAGATTTTGCTTTGGTTGATCTTTACAATATGGTAACTGGTAGTTTGGCGACATTTTGGAGGCGATAAAGGTTACTACCTGGGACTTTGGTAATAATGTGAGCCGTACTCAGTTCCGATTACGCATTATTTTGTGTGAGGGAAATGAGAGATCATGGGATATGTCATGTGATATTAATGGACGAATTACGGTTCTTTAATCGGAAAAGGGGGGAAATCAGGAAAAAATCTGGAAATTTTTGTATTTGGTTTATTCTGTGTTTGTGTGAAACAGTGTTCTGAATTTTTGGATCCCATGGCCGTAACTAAAGAAAAGTTTATCGACACGTAATCAAGATTCTGAAGAAGATTAGGTAAGTTAGTATTTTTATTATTTGAGGATATTATTTTTTATTCATTGTTCTAAATGTAAGGTGGAAGTAAAGGAATTTGGTATTATTGGTAAATTGTTATTAGCAATGATTTAGTTTAAAGTAATTAGGATTGTAAGGTAATTTTTTATTAATTTAATGTATGTGCTCATTTATAAATATTTTTAATTAAATGATAGTTATTTTTGTGAATTTTATGTTTGTAGGAATTTGGTATACGTTTTAGTGAAGTAAACGTGCATGGAATAATTTAATATCTGACACTAAGTATTTGTAATGGTTGCGGTATGAATTCGTTGGTGACGTGTATAATGTATAGATGATTTAGGTAAAAGTTTTTGGATATTTTATTTATTTTATATGTGGAAATGTTCATATTTGGAAAGGTAATACTTTTTCGCGATCAGGTAATTTCTATGTTCTTTTTACCGGGTTTAAAGATTGAGAAATTGTCATGTATTTTCGTGAAATTTTCTAATTTATGAGAAAAAACAGTGTACATGGAATAGTGAAGATGTGCGCAATGCCATTTTTGTGCAATTCTGGGATTTTTTTTTAGTAAAATAAGTCGACGTGTACATGGTTAGTGATATTTTAATTAAATGATAGCTATTTTTGTGATTTTATGTTTGTAGGATTTGGTATAACGTTTTAGTTGAAGTAACGTGCATGGAAATAATTTAAATTTGATACTAAGTATTTGTATGCTTGCGGTATGATTCGTTGGTGCGTGTATAATGTAATAGGATTTAGAGGTAAAAGTTTTTGGATATTTATTTATTTATATGTGGAAATGTTCATATTTGTAAAGGGTAAATACTTTTTCGCGATCAGGTAATTTCATATATGTTCTTTTTACCGGTTTAAAGATTGAGAAAATTGTCATGTATTTTCGTGAAATTTTCTAATTTTATGAGAAAAAAGCAGTGTACATGGATATAGTGAAGAGTGGCGCAATGCCATTTTTGTGCAATTCTGGATGTTTTTTTTAAGTAAAAATAAGTCGGCGTGTACATGGTTTAGTGTATGTGTTATTTTGAAAAACGCGTAAGAGTATGGTATTGTTCACTTTTTCCCAATTTTGCAGTGAATATTTGTCATGATTAAGCAGTTTTGTTAGATAAAATTCTAGCATAAGTGTATTCGGCTTAGTAGATTGTTGGAAGAAGTGTTCAATAGATAAAAAGAAAGAAACATTCTTTCTTCGTGAAGACAAAATGGCGGCGAGAAAAAAAATAGAGGGTTGCTGTAGGAGAGTTGGTCGCCAAATTTTCGCCAAAAAAACGCCAAGTTACCATAATGTAAAGATCAACCTTTGCTTTCATTAAGAAAGAAACCTCATAATTTTGTTCATAGCTATTCCACGCAGGCCTGCTTTCGCTAATAAAAGTTTTTCTAATGTGTCATCACTAAGATTAGATCTAAATTTAGTCCTAGCTTTTGCAAAAACACTGAAAATCCTCTCACACTCTGCATTACTATGGGGAACTGTCAAGATGGCCAACATAATTCTAGACAGTTCACTATATTTTAAAATTTCATCAGCATCTTTCAGGAGCTGATGAAATTTCCTGTTCAAAAAGTACCTTATATTCTTTTCATATAAGGTACTTTTTGAACAGGAAATCTGTTCAAAAAGTACCTTATATCAGAAATAAATATCAACAATGTGTTCATTGACATTTATTGGTAAAGAAGCTGCCTCTTTTTCAGCTGCTAAATTTTAAGAGGTGACAGGTGCACCTCATAATCTGCAAATCTGAATTTTCCTTTCTTAAGATGCCTGCAACACCAGTCTTTAAGCCTACCATTACTGGTGCATTATCGGCACCTAAACAATTATCCATAGGGACTGCATTTTCTTTTAAAGTATTAATAATTAGCTGTGCTATATTAAAGTCTGTCGAATGTCCTTCTAAAGCGGGGACAGAAAGTAAACGGCACTCAATTTCTGAAGACTCTGAATTAAAAAAAGAAACAAAAATTTGATACAGTTTTGAATCGGTTTAATTGCTTCCATCCGTAGAGAGGCAGAACGGAGCTGTTTTAATGCAATCAATAACTGAAGATTTATTTTTCGAACCCATTTCTTTGACAATTGCACCTGTTTTGGTCCTTGCACTTGAGTATTTCTTAGCGATTTCACTATCGGGGAAACATTTTTCTAAATAAATTAAAGCTGCAGCGTGATCCGATGCATTCAGTGGCAGGTTGTGCTTCAGCAAAAAGGCAGAGAACAGACATTTTGCATTAATAACCTTTTAGTCCTTTGTTTCCGAAGAAAAATATCATTTTTCGTTTTTCAAAACAACTCATGTTGTCCTTGTGTTTTTGTGTACGCACGTGTTTGAGAACATCCGCCCTTCCACCATGCGAAATCGAAAAATCGCAATGACAGACATTAAACATCGCAAATTTATTACATTTCCTTGAGGAAATAATGGAAGGAAAGTCAACTGTGTACGATTTTTGAAACGTACACGAGTATTTCACCTTTCACGCAGACATAACAAAAGATGATCTATTTCACCTTTCAGGCAGACATAACAAAAGATGATTATTTCTAAAACTATGTTCCGAAGGCACATATACTCACACAACTCAGGACAAGATGAACGAAATAACTAAAGAACATCCAAATAACAGCCTTGAGCTTGCTTTGTGCTCATTGGCTAATATATGCCAGATGACACACAGTGTAGCTCGATGCCCATTGGAGAACGACATTTCTGGATACGTATGCTCTCACTCACAAAGCAGGAATTCTCATCTGATTCGCAAGGTTTTGTTTTAGATATAATCTAGAGAAAATTCAATTGCTTTCAGATGTCCAAAATCACTTTTTTTTTGTTTGTATAACGAAGTATTAAGCCAAGTTCCATAAAAAATCGTGAGAAATTTTAAGAATAAAAAAAAGTCGGGAGAAATATTTTGTAAATCTGGTTGGCGGGAGAGCGGTCGAAAATCAGGAGTCTCCCGCCTAAATCGGGAGAGTTGGCAACTCTGTTAATCCTTTCCAACACGATACTTCTTAAAGTTAGAATTTCAGGGGAAAAAAATGATATGCAGTCTAATCAGGCCTAGAAAAGTAAACAAGTAATATTTTGTAAAGATAGCACTTATCATTTTAATTTTATGGGTGTGCCCGAGGCAGTTCACTGAATGAATGGAGCTTCGAAAAGTGCGCTGAAGTAAGCATTCCTGGAAAGCACGTAATAGAGTAAAAGATTTTGCCTGCGATTAAAACAAATTATTCTGATTACCATAGCAGATTTAGTATTACTCAAGGTCCACCACAGGGAAGCCTCTACTCTACACTCCTCAGATAATAAAGGAACTTCTTGGTTATATGATGACTACATGCGCATAAACAAAAAAAACAAAAAAAAGCCCTCCCCGATCCATCTGCAAATTAATTAAAATCAGACAAAATAATCTAATATTATGTCTACAGTTAAGAAAACACTATAAAATGAAATTAAATAATCTTCTACTACTCAAAACTATTAAAATGTACAGCTAATAAAACTTCTTTCAATGAAAGCATGATAAAAAGAGACCTGTTGTAGTGAAAAATCAAGGAGCTAACTGATAAAATTACCCCAACCTTCAGGAAAACACCCCAATTCCTTAGTTGATACCCCCTGCAAAAAAAAAAAAAAAAAAGAAAGAAAGAAATGAAACACAGCTGTGCCCCCCCACCTTTCTGTTGTGAATGGGCTCACTATAGAAAATTCTGCAGTGAAACAGCAATACAGTTGTTGGTCTGGTGTTTTAGTGATCCCACTCTGGGTATAC